TTTTTTTTTTTTTTTTTTTTTTTTTTTTTTTTGGAAACTGAAGTTCGTCGTATCTAAGTGAATTTTTTTATCTTAATTCCGTTTTCTACAAGAACGATATGGCAGAAGTGTTGTGGCACATTACAGATGCTGAAGTGTATTGTGTTTGTGTGAGTTTTGTGTCATAGCAATAGTTATTTTGGTTACTCATCATTTATCTTTTCATTTGTTCAGTTGGTGTCACTAATGAAAAACAAATTCAGAATTGATGTGAATGAAATCATCAAAGTATCATTAGTAAAAATCAGCAGCGCTCTGTCAGTAAGTTTTGAGCGGAATGAAAAATTTAGTACGATTACGTCATAAAAAGTAATTTTTCTAGTATTATATACTAGTTTTTATTTTCTAATTTCCTCTTTTTTCCAGTTTTTTGTTTTTTATTTTAGTTCTTTTTCGTTACTTTTTGCTACCAATAATTTTTTGCTCTTGTTCAGTTTAGATGAAAAGATGGAAGGTAGTTGCGGGAAAAAAATTTTCCCGGATCATTTAGGTTGCGCGCCGCTTGAAGTTTCAGAACAACAATTTTATAGTTGCCGTTGTGGTATACAAACGGATATTTTTTCGGTCGAGTTCTTCTGGCTGCTTTTAAGTTGCTTTTATGTTTGTTTACATTCTGTTAAACTTTTATAGTTGTAGGTTATCCGTAATAACTTTTTATTCAATGGACAGCTGGGAACCTGTATATTTTGATCTTATTTCAGTGCAAGTTTTTCAAAATCATTTTTCTCAGTATAAATCTGCTAATTATGTCGAAGAAGTAAGATTATTTTTTTTATTACCTGAATCTGAGTAATAAGAATAAAATCCTGAAATTTTTTTGTCGTTATTAATTCTTCCAGCTTGATTCATGATTTAAGTTTAATAATCAAGGGAAGACTGGGCTTAAAAGGTCAAGTACAAGTTGGAAAAAGACAGCGGAGAAATACAAAAGTTTACATATGTGCTGAAAGTGTCATGAAGAACTTTACTCGTGTTGATTTCATTTGTTTTCTGAAAAATTTCAAGAGCGCCGGGAAAGAAGGCACCGAATGGTCGCATCAGAAGAAGAAGAGAAAAAGAGGAGAAGAAACTATAAAGCTGCAACAGGTGGTAGTTAATTTTATAAACTTCAAAATTGTCTATTGTTGGTTGTCCACTTTCTGCCTTCGCTTTCTCTCTTCGTCTGCTTCTCTCCGTTCTTTTCTTCCTCTGTTGCCCATATATCTTTCCTCAATTTCTCCCTCTTCATCAGTAGCTGATGATGTTGTTCCGTTGTGGTTGGTGGACTCCACTATCATCGTCCTCACGACCGCTACCAGTAGCGTTGGCAACAAACGGTGTTTCTCAGTCTTGCCCCGAACAGCAACTGCAGGCGGCGTATGTATAGTGGTGATAAAGGTGAGAATTGCACCCTTCATGACGAGACATGGTTTGCTGTTCTAGAGAGAAAAAGAAAGAAGGAGGTGAAGGTAAAAAACTTTGGCAAAGTTGCTCTGTCTGGCAGCAGCAGCAGCAGCGTTTGTACACTGCCGTTACACGTCAGTGTGGTTTCCTTGTTACTTCTGTCTGCGCAGTTATTTTTACAGAGACGTATTTGTATTGCCCTCTGAATCTGAGTTACAGTTGGCTTTTTCAGAAGCACGAGGGGGTTCTGATGTGATAATATGCAAGAAAACAGGAGTTCCTGACGTTACTCATTTGGAGTGCGGAATATGCAGGAGCTACTGGCTACAATGCAGACAATAGGTCACAATTTTTGCATCAGTGTCTGGTGGGCTCTGTTCGTGGATCATTTGTAGTCTACTAAATTACTATTCTTCTTGGCTCTGTTACTTTTTATGAGTATTTCAGAATTTACCAAATCTAATGTGCATCGACATTATTTGATATAATGGATGGTTGAGTGTGTGCGCGCCTGCATGTCTGTATCTGTATGTTTGTGTGTTTGCAGTTATTATTCAGTCACATTTAGTTAGTTTTTATATTTGTTAGTGTCCATTCTTTTCAGATTTGTTTTGGGTTCTACCTCTCTCTATCTCAGTATATATTTCTCGGTATATTTGGATTCTGTTTTCACAGAAGAACCAAAACAGAGTAAAGGAGAAAGAAAGGAAAATTAAAAGATAGTGTTTATTGCATAGGGAGGAAAGATTCTTTTTTAAACATCGGTTATTGTTGTACATCTCATACAGAAAAGGAATGGGAACTTACGAGAAGGTTTTTGGGTCTTCAGAATGCAGTGGTGAATGGTGATTATTTGTCAGATGGATTGGCCAAAGGGAAGATTACTTAGAGGTTTTATTTTTTAGTTATTTTGAAGCATTTGTTGTCTGCGTTTGTTTAAATATATAATTTATTAATTTCATCTTCGTTTTGTTGATTTGGCACGCTAGAATGCGACTGGAAAATTCGTTGACGCACTTTCTGCGTCATAAAGTAGTTGACAGACAGCTTGAAGAAACCATTAAGAAGCAGTATTTATTTGACAAGGTATTCTTGTGCTCGATATCTGTAGTACAGAGGGTAAATTCCATTAGCAAGTAAGGGGAGTTTTTGTCTATTTTATGCCTTTTTTTGGGTTTTACTACGAGGAAGTTTTGTTGTCCTCAGTTGATTGTCGTCTAGTAAGGCTCTCTTTAATGAAAAGTTGCGCTATTTTTGACTGGAAAATTTTATTCTGTGCACTTTTAGCAGCATTCTGATTAGTATTAATCTTCGTACTGTACTTTTGCAGATCGCTCCTTTATTTTTTTTTTTCTATGAACCTTATAAAGTGATGTTCTTGTAAATTTCGTAAGAATCCGGCTAGACGTGCTGTTAACTAAGGAATTACTGTTTTTTTGGGCAAAATTTTTTCTGTTTTTTTTTTTTTGGTTTATTTTATTGCTCGAAAGCAATTATTGCCATGCTAGATAATAACCATTTTCATCTGAAAAAATAAATATGAACAAATGAGTTCTTTGTTGCTTTTTGTACAAATGTATAGGTAATATTTAATTAATACAGAGTCTTTTCTTAATTTTGTTTTCCAGTTTAAAAATTGATGTAATAATTTTTTGTGTAGTTGCGATATGTTTTGTGTCATAAATTTTGTACCAGCTGATTGTTTCTTCTCCCGAAATTTCAGCATTTATTGTGGCGGATTCTCACGTAACCGATCACGTGGTACAACAGAGGCGTTGTATTCTTTATTATTAGCAGAATTTTAGTATTACGTTATTTAGTCATCTATTTTTTTGCTTCAATTATTTCTTAATTATCGAATCCGCCTTTATTAATTTAGTTTCTCGTATAGTTTGCACACTGCGGTCTTTTCTCTTTCCTCGTGAAATATTAGAGAGTTCTGGCAATAAATTAGTTTTTAGTAATGAAATTTAGTAAATAATTCTGCCGTTTTTATTTTTCATTTTTTTTTCAGTTCTACGTTGTTAAATCAAATACGTCATTTCGTTACTGGAAGAAATTATTGTTCTTAGCTAAAAAAATTCTTTTCTTAATTTGCTTTTATATCCATTTTGGAATCATGTTTACTCACGATTCAACACGAGTCCAATTTTTTAAAACAGCGATTTATATTTATCAGCAGGACAGTACTATAGGTGGCTTGTAAATAATAAGCTTTTTTTTATTACTTGGTACTGAAACAAGGGCAGAGTAGAAATTCCTAAGCATTTTATTTACATCTCTTTTTTGTGTTTTCGCTTTGCATTACGGACTTTTGAAAGATTATGGATGGTGATACAAGATTGCATCAGCTTTTTCGAAACTTCCAATTCACATAACATCGTTTTTCCTTATCAAATAACACGAATCAATTGGCTTTTCTTGGAATAATAGTCATTTTTTTAAGTTAATTGAGCCATCGTTTCTAACAGTTTCTACGCGATCTGGTTTTGGTGCTCTTTCTGTAGCCTCTGATACGAACGGCTCGTTGTAAAAATACTCAGCTCTTTTTTTTTTTTCATTTTTAATTCTGTGAGCCTGTTATATAAATGTATATATTTTTTAAAAATTTCTCTTTGTTTTTTTTTTTTTTTACTTTATTAGTTGAGACAAAGGTGACTACTAAGCCTTAAGCAAATATGGACAAATTTGCTCTATGTGTGTAAAAAAAGATGAACGAGGATTGCAACAAATAGACTGAATGTGTAGTTTTGGAGGTCTAATAATTTATATCATGAATGTAGACGGTGGCTTTGTAGTAAAAATAGATTTTAGTTTCTCATTTAGAAGCGCTTTAATTGATAAAAGAAAATTTCAGTTAATTTTGGAACAGTTTTGTTGATAAATTGTCTTTTGGAGTGAATATACTTTGCAGTTTTATGCCACAGTTTTTAATCATAAATTATAGTTTTTCAGACTCAACTTCCTTTGCTGTAATCAATTAATACGATCGGTTGTCAGTCTTGTGCAGTATCTAATTTTTTAGATTTTCTTGTGTTTGTTATGAATACGACTCTCATCATTTGAAAATTGTGCCTTGGAATGTCATGGAAAGATTTTAGCTCATTGTGTGTACGTGTGTGTCAAATAAGGCATTAGTTTCGTTTTATTTTGTTTTTTAAAGATTTATTCGTTTTTGGAAAACGTTAAACAAAAGTTGTTCACCTTAAATTGCTTTATTATTTATACTTCCAAAACTGCCACTATTTAATCTGACATTGTTTGTAGGGATTTTTTATGTAATACGAGAATGGGCATTGCTTTAAGTATAAAGTTTTTTCTCTTATTCGACAGGGGTTCTTCGCTTTCTGGAAGCAGAGAGTTTTTTTTTTTTTTTGTTAAGACGAGTCAGTGTACAAAAAATTGTGTAATTGTCTTATTGCAGTTTTCACTGTGGTTCGACTATCCGTAACAGACGTCATAGGATTTCGTTTGCTTCTCTACTTTAGTTTGGTTTATTTTTATTCTTTCAATCTTTATCTGAAAATAAGGTGCTGTGAATTTTCAGGTATTTTAAAGAATTCTTTAGGTTACTGGTTGTAAACATTATTTTATGCTTATTTTAAGGACGAATTCAATCTGTAATGGAAAGTTTTATTGGATAGGCCCTCATTTTTCGAATGATTAAGAATATGTAATTTTCGCCTTTTGCTTGCGGAAAACTACTAGTAATTTAAGGTCTTAGTTTCTTGAGGTTACTGACTTTTTTCTTGATTTCTTCTAAGTACTAACAAATATGTTTTCGACAAATAATGGATGGGAGATACATTAAATAGTTGCTACCTTACGGTGTAGTTCAGCAGGGGATTTTGAAAAAGATGGAAGTATAAACATTTGCTTGAGAACTAATGGCTAAAGAGTTTTTTAGCAAAAATATTGAAGGCATTATCATCAGTTCCTGAATGCGCGTTTTGAGGGTTTTTTTAACGGGAAAAATTGGTATAAAATTAAGATATTGTTGGGTAAGTTTGCCTGTTTATGGAAAAGAAAGCATTTTTCACTGACTCTAAGTTTTACGTATTTATTTACTGTATAACTCTTAGTATATGATGAAAACAGTTAAGAAATGAATTATTGAAAATTTTTTTGATTTTCATAAAGAAAGCTTTTTTTGTTGCTCACACCTGAATTCCAGTTCACATCCAAATTATAGAATAGAGATTCGAGCAAAATTGCTAAAAATTTGGAGTATGCATGTTTGAAATTTAGGCAGCTTTGAATGTGAAGCAGAAGTAATTTATTACTATTCTTTGATAGGAACAGTCAATTAAAATTGAAGTTTATAGCCCCTTTGTCACTCGGCAGTGCTTCACTTCTTTAAAATTTTTGTGCGCGTTTTTTATCTCGGTAAATTTTTGTTCTACCAGCATATTTCCGTAGGAGGGTTGGTATTTTATCCTGATTGTATCTTTAAAAAGGCGGGTTTATTGTTTTTTATTGTTCAGCCGTAGAGCCTTCGACTATTGACTGTGGAGGGCTTAAGGGTTTTCATTTTTTCTTTTTTGTTACAGATTGCTATTTAATTTTTTTCCTCTATTGTTTTATTGAATTTTTTTTGAATATTGATGAGAGGTTGGCACATGTGACTGGCATTATTTTTAACTTTGTTTCAAATATTTGCGAGTGTTGAATCTGAAGAACATTTCAGCAATATTTTTGAAACGGATGGAAAAGATTGCAGACATTATAAGATACTGTGGTACTCGTGAGGAAGTCTCAAAACGGTGCCTTAAAAGACGTAACAGAATTGGTGCTGCGGCCACATCGCCAGTTTTTATCACTTTTGACAAGAAGAAACGAAAGCTTGGGTGTAAAGTATATGGCAACGGGGGAACTATAGTATGTTTTTTCTTCCACACTTGTAATAATATGCTACAGATGGTATTAGGTATTTGATTTTTTTTTGCGGCTTTTACATTTTTGTCGCTGTTGTCTGTCTTAAGAGGTAAAACCAACTTTTAATGAAATAATAGCA